AGCTATGACAGCTTGCCCGCTAGCCTGGTTTTTGTAATACTCGGAGGGGGAGGAGTTCAAATAAAAACCCTAAAAGTGTGATACAAATTACAATAGTATTCTAGGCTTCGACAGTGCAGTCGACTCTGTGGTCACTACTCGGTGTGCCTGACAGCCGTGAACAGTCCGCCACAGAATTACACCTGCACCGGTTAACAAAAAATATATTACAAAACGCTGCTCCTCTTTGGTGCATGTCAAATGTAGGATGGGGGCATTTTCAGTCTGTCATTATGACGTCACCATGTTTGCTCCGTGTTGTCAAGTGCTGAACACTTTTGAATCCTCAACAACAATGTTGGCAGTTTATAATTTATATCACATTTTTACAGTTTCCATTTGAAGTCTTATTATACTTTTGCAACACACAGTAGAGTTCCCCCCTCCTCTTTACCCTCGCTACCATGGTGTAGTAGTAGTAGAAGATGTAGATTTCTACCCCACCAGGACATCACACAAGCGATAAACACCCGATGACACGAAGTCCCACCATGTGGATGAGGATTACCGTGGAGAGGTCCCATAAACCGCGCTCAGCGATTACACTATATTTATGGCCGGGCTATATTGCGGCCCCTGGCAAGAGCCAGGGTGGGGCTTCAAATAAACAACAATTGCAACTCACAGGGAGATAAATGGATAACAATATAGGTAACCACAGTGTTCAGTGCTCTTCTTTATATAAATTATATAATATTATTATAATGATTGGAAAACGATCACTTGAGACAAGCATTTTTATTCACTGCTAGCGATTTTCAGTGATACGACTGACTGACTGACTGACTGACTGACTGACTTTCTACCCCACCAGGACATCACACAAGCGATAAACACCCGATGACACAAAGTGCCACCATGTGGGTGAGGATCGCCGTGGAGAGGTCACAGATACCGCGTTCAGAAAATTTGCCATATTTATGGCCTGCCTATATTGCGGCCCCTGGCAAAAGCCAGAGTGGGGCTTCAAATATAAAAAAATTTCATCCTATAAAGAACGAAACTGGATTGAACTGCACAAGTGATACGACAATGTAGATTGGTATTAGACTTAATCAGCTTGACCCACTGAGAGCTGATTGGTCTATAACAAATATGAGTCTTGTACCTAATGCCAGATAGGCTGTTGGCACCAATACGGTTATTTACTATTGAATTCCGTTATTTTACTGCGAAGCATGGGAAATAAAAGCGGTCGGCGTGATGCTGACCACATCACCCCCGAGTTCCGATTAGTCTATGTATGCCAAATACGCCAGAAGTGGAAAAGGGTCCATCAATTCACTTTTACTGACTTCTTTACTCCGCTGTGTATATGTTTACAGTTGTTGCACATTGCTGGCAATGGCTTGGGCTACTCCGTTTTTCCTTGTTTCTGTCTCGCACGTTGCATAATCTCTCATATATTTACATAGATAAGATTTAATAACTTATTCTTCGCCCTCCCCCCTCCCCATGTGTTAGCAGCATTTTTTTTAAATTCTACGTAATTGCCTTGTGCTTGTTTTTAAAAGAGCTGAAACACTAGCAACCTTCGGCCGACACATCCGGCTTCTTCCCGCATTTGATTTGTTTGTTTGGGACCAGTTTGCCTTTTCGAGTATTCCAGGTTTTTTTAAGTGGTAGTTTAAAAAATATAGTTTGCTACAACAATTATTGATAACCATGGCGTTTGTTTTCTTTGTTGCTTCTTCTGCAGGTGGCTATCAACATTCGTAGTTTGGTGTATCATGTTAAACAATTTTGTGTAGTATCATCTTCTCGCCTCTTAAAGGATAGTTGGAAGTTGTGTTGTGGTTTACAGTTAGACTGCGATATCTATGCCTTTCGGCCCAACACATCCGATTTAAGCCAACTCCTAATTTATTTGAGAATCACTGCGTTAAAGTATCCTTAGCCGGTTTGGTGACGTCAGCAGCATGGCCCGTTCGCTGGAGCCGGTCTTGGTTGACTGTTCAGGCCCGCGTGGTCAACAGCCCACGGAGACTTCGGAGGTCGGGCAATGAGTTGAGGACTGGACAAAAGCGACAGGGAAACGGGTTTTCGGGGGAGTTGTGCTGAGAGGCCTGGACAAGTAATTTGTGATAGCGTGTAGGATATGTAGCGAGACCTATATTTTATAGACCAATCGGCACAAGATACGGAATGTAGTCAGCATTACGCTACCCACTCAAGGCTGGGTCAACCTGGGAGCCAAGATCATTTTTTGAAAAAGTCCGTCACCGCCAGGGAGCGAACCCACGACCTTCCGATCCGCGGTGAGCGCTTAGCCCCTACGCCACGGCGACTTTCGTTTGTTTGACGGTAGTATAATTACAAGTTATACTTCACGACATGCTTGTTTGGAGGCAATGGGTATATTCTCTCTCTCGCCCCCCCCCCTCCGCCACCTTCCAAAATAGGATCCCAGAACCCACAGGGGGATCTGTGTAGTAAATATGAACCACGGCTATAAAGACATGTTATTTCAGGGGAAAAACGAATTAAGCTATCTAGTTAACTATTGGAATTGAATGGTCTCGTTACTGTTTTTAATTAGCGCTAACTGGCGGAGAAAGTGTTATCTAAATCATTTTTGCAGATGCAAATCCTTTGATAAATGGAACAGGCGGAAAAATACAAAACAAATGGTCGATTAACACCGTTCCAATCACTTATCGATCTGATCCAGTAAGCAGATAAAAGGCTGTTAAACAGGAACAAAGAAAAGTGCTTAAAGCCGTGAAATCAGAAGCCAAAAGGTCATAAAACGATAGTGAATATAGGTCACCCGTTGTGGCATCGATTGCCATGGCTCAGGGTTTATGTCAGTTAAGTTACCTACTCCTGGTTTTGAAAGTAGGAGAATTTATAAATTACAGTGTGTAAATATCAGGGAGTTTTGTTGGACGTGACACCGCATAAGAAAATGGGTGTATTACAAATCATCATCATCATCAGTCATCAAGTTATTTACAGAATGTCGCTCTTGTCACGGTATTCCTGGAAGTCTCTCTTTCTCTAGTCGATTCTCCAGCCCTATGTGCTTTCATAGCAAATGAATCTTCAAGGCCCTGTTTCTACATTCTCAGGAGTCTGCCTCTACCTTGTTTTACGGAAATGTAGCCTCCATCACAGTTATCTCCAAACCACCATGATGTTTAATGTGGTCAAAATTTGTCAGCTGCTGGGATGGGATGCTGTTTATGAGCCAATTCTCCTCAAAATCAGATCATGCAGGAGTAGGACGACGATGTTTTTCTTCTTTTTGATCCACATTATTCTGATATGTGTGTGTGTCTGTGTGTGTGTGTGTGTGTGTGTGTGGTGTGTGTGTGTGTGTGTGTGTGTGTGTGTGTGTGTGTGTAGCATTTCAGTATGTTGGTGCTATATTAACATCCTACCCCAAACAGGGTAAATCCACAGGTCACGGGGCAGTATAATATTTCAGGGGGTGGTTGATAGGCTGTATGAGGTCGTGGGACCTAGGCTGCACTCTCTCGTGGGACGAAGGTGGGTTGGGATTAAGGCCAGTTCTAGATGTTTTGGCGTCGTTAAAAGCATCAGAAAGCGGCGAAACCCAGTCTTACCACCTTCTTAAATGTTGAATTATCCAGTGACGTCATCTGGGGTAGCATATTAATAAGCAGCCAACATGTTTTAAAATAGGTAAAAATTAACAGACCATTTTTACGTCAGTTTGGTTTCGGGCAAACAGTGTTAGACCAATATTTTATAGGCCAGTCAACACTCCTGGTCAACATCACTCTGGCCGCATTCGCTGATGCTAAGATGGGATGAAATTGTTCTCAACTTTGTAACATTTTTACTTACGTTGTTTGAGTTTTCTTACTTCAAAATATTTTTTTCCGACCGCCAGCAGTAGTAATTTTAAATGTTTGATCCATAATATTCCATAGGTGTCCCTGCAACTTCTGGTGCGATTCACTGTTTGAGGCTTTCAGGAAGGACATCGACAACTCATGAAGCTAATCCTTTGAAGAACGTCGGCCTCATCATGGTACGCAAGAAAACCACGACGGTCCTTGCAAACTGTCTCGCCTTGTGAACTTTTATGTCAAGGATGTCCTTGATATTATCATGGTCGATAGCTGCCTCTTCTGTCAAGAACTAAACTCTACATTACTTTCTCCGAACAAGCGAACTTTTGTACCTCATTCCGCAGAGAGTGAGCAGAGAGAGAATATAGACAGTTTTCAACATGCCAGGGAAAAAACAACAAGTTGACGTTTAATTGTGTTGCATCTTACACCATCAGTAGGGAAACTTCGTTGGCTACGATGAAAGGGGAAAGAGAACGTGTGGGAATCCTTCGAGTGCAGTGAGGTAATTTCATTCCAGACTCCTATGGTTTAACATGGCTTACAAATCTGACGTCATCTGAAGAATTTCTTGAAAGTGTTTACAACAGTGCCACGTATTCCAAGGCTTTGCACATCATGGGTGCTCTGACCTCCTCTTCCTCCTGGCAGTATTCAGACATGTTCCAAAGGATTTGACAGTACTATTAACATCAGGATCACACATTCTAAGGTTATAACAGATGTTAACAACAGTTTGATGGAGCCTTTTCGTGGGTTGTAACAAATAGTTAAAGATGTGATGTCAGATAAGCAATGACACCACATGCTTGAATCGCACGTGTGAGTAACCGGGGAATTCGTAATAAGATCTGGTAAGATTACATGTGAGAGAATATTTTACGTTTTGTCAGCTTAGATCGCATTTCGGTAGGCCTGTCTCCGCACAGCGCTGTTCGTCTATTGAGAGCTTTGCACAAAGAACATGCTCCGTAGTTGCAACGAATAGAGGACCTTCAGAAGTAGAGGTGCAAGGGCTTGACTACGGCCTGGCTTAAAGCTGCATCAGGCCGTGGCTTGACCTTCGCTTAGGGGAATCCCCTTATAAGTTTATGTGAGGCACGGCCAGCTCCAGGTTTCTCTGGAGACCGCGGGGATGTGATGCTGCCGCTTGAGCCCAGACTAATGGCTGAACTGAGCACGGAGGTTTCAGATTTCAGGAATAACAGCATCGTGTATTTCTCTGACGCGATCACTGATGAAAATGAAGAAATATCTCCGTCTAACTTAAAAGATAAGGACGTCAGTGTTAGTGAGATAAAAAGCGACCCAGAGGGAGGTGTGTCCAAAAAGCGGGTGAGGTTTTTGCCTGAAGGATGTTTAGTTAATGTACGTGAAATACCAGCAAGGAGTGAAAGCCCGTCAAATAGATCTGAAAGCTCTAGCGGCGACTCCGATTCTGAATCGGATGACTTCAGTTATGAGTCTGATTCAGACAATGAAAACGACGACGACGGTTGTTTAAGGGCGCCATCTTCGCCGTTAACTGACACAACAATATTGAGATCGGCCACCGTAATCAGTGAAACGTCGAAATTCACAGTGTCACGCAAAGTGGGAAAGCCAGTATCCAGACATTCTGAAACGGCTGTTATAAGAAGTGAGCATTTGACTACACAAACTAGCTCTAGTCCTGCTCAGATACGAACAAAACATAAATCTAAACCTCGTATAAGAACTCGCCAGGCAAGTAAACCTGTTGAAACCGAACTAAACGACAATAAGCCCATTGCTAATGTAAAAAGGCGGAAGCCGGCAAAGAAAACCACATTATCTCTAGAAAAACAGCTGAACCAACGCCAGTCGTTTGCTAAACTGGCATCCCGCCAGCAGTCTGCTAAAAATGTAAACAGACGGGCGTCTCATAAAACTGCTAATGGCGCTGATATAATGTTTGCACAACGAAGAATCAGCAGTGCCAGATCAGATAGTCGATCTACCTCAAAGAATGGCAATTTGGCAGCAGTTTCTCGTACCTTACTACCAGTTTTGCACACAGCAGTAGATGCTCACCGCGACACGCAAGACGGTCACATAATAACGACACTACAATTGCTTTCTGTCGGAAATGTACAGTCAGTCAATGGGTTCACATTCCCAGCCCATCAAACGTCAATAGTTCATTTCCCGCAGATTCTACTGAACAACGATAAACAGCAGTCCATCATTCTCCCAGCATTGAACAAAGGAGATATCAATCGACAAGCTTCTAAAGAATATCACTTCCAGCAAACATACGATGATACAAACAACACGCAAGTGACATTACGGCCATCTAGTAGCAATAAACGGTCTTATGCATGGCAGATGGCCAATGGGAACGTTCCAGTATCTCTCCAGAGCACGCCAAGCATTGCACAGCTCTGGGACAACGAACATGAAGTTTCTGGGCGTCTTTTTACAAATGCTTACCAGTCTGCTTCTGTGGCAAGAGTCATATCTAGTAACATTGTTAGAAAATTATAGAGTGACTTACCGATTAATTAGGTTTACTGATTACTGATTTGAGAATCGGTATCAAAGCACACCGGGCATACACAAAGATGCTTCGTCTCCCGCAGCAAAAGTCTTATGGTGTAGATGCTAATTGTTCTCGTAGCACACTGATTAAACACACGTAGTTCTTTTCCTCTCTCCGTCCATCCTTGCCGGATCCACACTTAATTTATCGCTCACACATTCTTGCCCATGTTATTTCATGTAATCTCGTGTCTTCTGTCAACAGTCATTAGTATATGGTCTTGGTTTGTTGTTTGTTTGTTGTAGTATCCAGAAGCCATGAGTTGTTAACCATTAGGCTCGGTATTATGGATATCGCAACCTTTCGGCCTTAATTCCATTGTAAATGCCGCAAATCTGGGTGAAATGTGGCTTTCCTGCCTACCCCCGGGATTGAACCCGGACTACAAGGAGTTCGTCACCCGGTCTCCACGCAATCCGGTTTAGCCAACTACGCTAGAGAGCCGGGCTAGTATATGGTCTTCAGAATATCTCCCTTTTCCAGTACGAGTGTTCCCGTAGCTTTCGCTTTTGTAGCCAGAAAATCCACTCTTTCATAAGGTCTACAGATATATCTATAATCGCATATTCTATTCTCTAGCTAATTTATAGAATTATATATATATATATATATATATATATATATATATATATATATATATATATATATATAACTGGACAAGTGAGGTTATGTTTTACTTCAGTACCGACGGGACGGCGGGGGCATACCTAAAAACGAGGGTATAGTCACGCAACTTAGGTAACCCAAGTCTTCTTTTTCCACCCGAGCTTTATTTGAGAGTTACACCTGCTAAAGTGTTACAAGCCATTCTGTAGACATGTTGAAGTTATCTTCCTCCTTGGCTAACGTTTGTCAGTGATACAATTGTGTTTTCCTTCTCAGCTCTTCGTTTGTGATCTTATTTGGTCAAAATATTCATATGATTCTCCTTAATGTCTGCCTTTCGGCTTTAATCCCCAGTTGTCATTTTGCCAATTATCACTGCCATTGTAGTCACTCTCTTGAGCATTTTGTATGACAACACAGTCAGTGCCTGTGGCTTAAGCTTTGTGAATTCGCTTCTGACTCTGAGTACCCTTTCGATCTGACCGTTTTGCATAGGTTTCGATAGAGGTATCGACAGCCGATGTTCGGTTGCAACTGGCAAACTACTAAATGTAAAATTTTCTATCATGATGGCGAATAGTGGACTAGAACTTGGTAACCCAAGACCGGCTCAAGCTGACATACGCTAGCGGCACCCAGTTTGAGAATCACTGCGTTAAAGTATCCTTAGCCGGTTTGGTGACGTCAGCAGCATGGCCCGTTCGCTGGAGCCGGTCTTGGTTGACTGTTCAAGCCCGCGTGGTCAACAGCCCACGGAGACTTCGGAGGTCGGGCAATGGGTTGAGGACTGGACAAAAGCGACAGGGAAACGGGTTTTCGGGGAGTTGTGCTGAGAGACCTGCACAAGTAATTTGTGATAGCGTGTAGGATATGGAGCGAGACCTATATTTTATAGACCAATCGGCACAAGATAGGGAATGTAGTCAGCATTACGCTACCCACTCAAGGCTGGGTCGACCTGGGAGCCAAGGTCATTTTTTGAAAAAGTCCGTCTCCGTCAGGGAGCGAACCCACGACCTTCCGATCCGCGGCGAGCGCCTAGCCCCTACGCCACGGCGACTTTCGTTAGTTTGACGGTAGTATAATTTAAATGTTAGTCTGATTAGTTCTCATGTTTCCAGGCCCATCTAGGTCAGCGCCGATCAATTTACACTTTTATGATTGACGTAGTCCGCTCAGTCTCCGCCTTAAGCTGCCAGACAGTCAAGTGTAAGTGGCAGGCGTGTCAGGGGTTCTCTCTGTAATGTTTGTTCGAACAGGTTTCTGCGTTCTCTTCTACTGACGTTTTCATTCCGAGAAAGAAAATGCGTCGGATGGAGGCTTCAGCACTCTCGTAGCAGGGTTTGTGTTAGGGCCAGTTCTGCATGTTTTGGGACAGTTAAAAGCGCTGACATCCTGGAATATACAGCACACGATATTACCTGCCGGTGAAGAGAACGCAGAAAGCTTTTCGTACACCGGGACACCCCTGTATCTTTCAGCAAAGTTGAGGAGCCTAAGGAAGTATGAATGAGATGTAAAGGAAAAAAGTAAGGGCCACACCTTTAGGCGTATAGGGCATATATTTGTGAAAAAAGTCCGGCTCCGCCAGGGAGCGAACCCACAACCTTCCAATTCACGGCGAGCGTCTAGCCGCTCCGTCACTGCGACTCACAGAATGAGATGTGGCGCAGTGTAAATGGGCAGAGCCGGGCTTGAAAACATGAGTTGTGCCTTAGTCTGTGTTGTAGAGAGATAGTTCATTGTGTTTAGTTATAATGGTATTTATTCAGGTATTTAGCTGTGTGTTAGCGGGGTGGTTCGCACAAAAAGTTTGCCTTGTTGAGTGACATGATCTGTCCACTCACACTACCCAGAGCCGTGCAGTAGCACAACAGTCACAGTGTAAGGTGCAGAAGCGTAGGAAAGAGCTTGGATTGGAGGCTGTTGGTTTAGACCCAGGTAATGTCTGGGAACTTCCTGCATGGCCAATGAGTGAGTGGAGATTGTAAAGCACTCCGGCTGGTTAGGGTAGGGTTAGAGAGTCACCTCTGGTGCAAACTGTCGAATGTTTGTTGTAAATTATAGTAGCACAGCAGTCACAGTGTAAGGTGCAGAAGCGTAGGAAAGAGCTTGGATTGGAGGCTGTTGGTTCAAACCCGGGTAATGTCTGGGAAAAACTGCATGGCCAATGAGTGAGTGGCCATTGTAAAGCACTCCGGCCAGTTGGGAGAGTCACCTCTGGAGCAAACTGTCGACTGTTTGTTGTAAATTATAGTAAAGTCTGATGTGTATGCCCTGACGGTGTTGGTTTAGTTCTGTTTGAGGACAGACGTTTCTGACATCAAGCTGCCAACGAGCCATTTGCCTTGATGGCAGTAAGCGGGTCTCTGACACTGGGGTTGGTTTTGCAACGTTTCGTAAAGGATACACAACTAACTTCAAGTTTCAGAAAACAGTGTAAACTACTGGCTAGTCTGGTCTGGTAATCTTAGTTTCAGCTTCATAGCAAACGGGTCACCCCATCTTTGCTCCGCTCCTGTGCCAACGAAAAACACACAGAATGTTTATCATTATCACAGTCCCTTGTGGAAATATTGACAGACTGCTGTCTCAGCATATCTAGCATACACACGCATTAAAGCATACGGTAGCCTTCCGAAGTACTAACACAAACAGTCCGACCTTAGAAATGCAGTTCATCATCGATGGTAGTTGTCCAAGCGATCAATTTTAATCACATATGGGCACCACCAACATTGCGACAACAGGAATCGCACCATTTTCTGAATCTACAATTCACACCACCACTTTGGTCACAGTTGAAAAAAACATTCCAAATGAAATCTGCAGCTCACAGTGTCACACATACATGCAATTCAGAAGCTGGGTGACAAAACTATATCCAGTCTACAAATGGAGCAAAAATATTAGCCACCGTCCGGCAGAAGCAAAAAATGTGCCCCGGCTCTGAGCAGTGCCCCCGCCTAGCGTCCATTTTGACCGGAAGTAAACTACTGTATTTATAAGTGTGAATAAGATATTTGTTGGGGAGACAAATTTAATTAATTCTCACAGGCAAATTAATTTTTCTGATAAACATTTTATTTTGTACAAATTGTGGTGTAGCAATGAAGCTAATAAACTGGAGAAAACAAAATGTACAAATTGTAGGAGAAAACAAGTCAATATTTACAACTGCCGATAGCCCCAATTAAAAAAAAAAAAAAAAACTGAATCTGGTTTAATAAAATACCAGATAACACAAGAAATGAAACAAATACATATTTGAGGAATACTAGAATAAATAAAATCTTGCAGTCTGAAGAAATCTCCGTGTGGGATTATTTTAAAAAAAATGTTAAAAGTAATTAAAATACATGAGAAAAATAAAATATGTTAAGTTAACAAGTTAAATTAACATTTATAAATAATGTTTATATAGTGCTGGTAAGATAAACATGGAAAATTTACATCACTTTACAAATGTTTGGAAACAGTGGTAGCAGTCTGATCGCTGGCAGTTGCAAACACCCAGGGTTCAATCCTTTGTAAAGCACACATTATTTCTAAGTCTGCACCAAACAAGAAGTCATACATTCATTTAATTACTCTTTATACTGCCTACTTTTCCTTCACACCTTTCTTTTCCATTTGTCTCTCATTTCAATGTTATTTTGTCTCCAACAGCCTGTTACAAGTTGATAGGAGAGTGATACAAATCTAGATAGACACACGGGGCATAGACAAGTTCAATTGAATAAAATTGGGTAAATACAACTGTCTGAGATAGACCAAGTTAACTCTTCACAGGTTCACATTTTGGCCAAAAATCAAAGAAGTCCCTTAACAAGCTTGTCATATAAGGTGACTAACTGAGGGACCGATGAAATCGTATGTGCTGGACTGAAAGGTGTAGATGTCGTAGCCAAGCTGTTAACCATAACAAAACATGCCAGTGCTTTTTCAAGGCTGAACAAAAAAGAAGAAGAAGAACAAGGTAAGACTCAACTACAAAACCAAAAAAAAAAAAATAATTAAAAAAAAAAAAAGGAAAAAATCATTTAATTGAATTGTTACATATGTTTATATTCTCAAAACTTTATCAAGACAGGGAAATGCAACAGTGACAGGGTTTTCGTTGTCAATAATCTTTACTTAGTTTAACATTGTGTGAGATTGTTAATGTTTTTCTTCATATTACATTATTGTCTTAAGGTTGGATGCATAAACTGGTCATAATGACCAGTTCAGTGGAAAAACCACTGAAAAAAACACTGAAGAAAAAACAGGGCTGTGTACACTCTAAAGTCAAAATTTCATGTAAAAAGGTCCCTTTTCCACGCCTTTAGGTGTATAG